GGGGTTTAGGGTCTCTTGGGGAAGCCCGAAGAGCTTCGGAGGAAGGATCCGCGTTTGTGGTAGGTGGATGTGCAAAGCCAAAGCGGGCCTGCTAGTCTCTGTCGGCCTATAAGTTTATGACAGTAAGATCCGAAAAGCCTGAGTCCTGAAGCCCTCTGTCACTCCAGTCCAAGCCCCAAGACAAATCCGAAACTCTTGGCCAAGCCCTCATGATCAACCCCGCTACAATCCCACCAAATCGCTTCAGCCATTTCTTGCCGAAGCCCCTAATCGTCCTCGACTAAAGACAAGGCGCAGCTAAGCCCTAAGCCCTAAATCCTAAAACCTAAACCCTACACCCTGAATCAGGCCAATCTGCAGAATGTTCAGAAGATCAAGTCCTCGGAGCTTTGCCTTGTGATTTGGGGAGAGTCCGGTCCCGGGTGTTTCATTAGAGCAGTTTCGCATTAATGGGCCAGGGCACTTTTAGGGTTTAGGGTTTAGGGTTGAGGTATCTTGGTTGGGAGTTCATCCTTCTTCCAACCGTTGAAGAGCGAAGGAGCAAGCCTTCGCAGCTTTGCTGGCTGATGGCTCGGTCATAGCCTGGGGCAATGAAGACCGCGGGGGAGACGCAGGACGCGGCTGTGAAGAGATTCAGCAAAGGCTCCTGGTTAAGAGTTCTGGATGGTTTAGGGTTAAGTCGGATAAGTGGATTTAGTTGAATTCGGTGCTTTGCAGTGCAAGCAAGGCCTACCACAAGCAATGAACAAACCCCAAACCCTTCAGGCTTTCAAGAACTGCCGTGTCGGGTAAGAACAGCCCAGGCGTGCAGCAGCAGCTGACACAGGCAGGATGCTGTGCCAAGCTTATTGACGACTGAAAATCTCGCAACTGCGTTGCAATTTTCGGTTTCGGTGCTGAGGCGAGGAGGCCTAGAGTTTCAGGGTAGTTCAGCATGTTATCCACGTAGTATAGGGACCTGGCCAAAGCTGTAAAGGTTCGGGCTTGGTTCGCTTTGCTGACCGAGGTCCGTGAATAATATACGGCTGGGAATATCTAGTAATAGTATACATTTCGAGTCCGTTTATTCCATATAGCGGTCTCGACCTGCCGCGGCCTGTAGTATCTCAAACCTTATAAGCCCCAAACCCTCAACCCCAAACCACAGACCCTAAATCCTATGCCCTAAACCCTAA